TGCCCGGGAGGCCCTCAACCCCCCAGTCCGACCCTGTATATAATTAACCACATCGGTTGACCGTAATGCAAATAGTTCACAAATGTTTTAGCAGCGCGGTGTGTTACGTTCACAGGGAAAGGAAACAATTGCCGAAACAATAATCCCGACGGCCATATCGGGAAGTGTGTACAAACGGTGAACAGAGCCTCAGGCGTACATTATGCAAAATGCACGGGTCCGGCTCGCCGGGCTCACTACAAATGAGAGTCATTTGGCGGTTGTGTATGTGTGTATTTTTTGTCTTCCGCAACAGGTTGGTCGTTAGATATCGCGCACGGAAATCTTGGACGAAAATGGGTGAAACGGCCACGGTAGCAGCAGTGGAACGAGAGCAAAGCACATGATGGCGGCGGCAATAAGCTGTAATTTCCGCCCAACAGCGCCGCGCCTGTTCGCGGGTTGTTCGCGGGTTGTTCCCGGGTTGTTCCCGGGTTATTTTCGGGTTGTTTGCCGTCCGCTACGGTGCTGCTGCAAAGCACAGAGTGTGTACAGCATGTACAGTTGAGTTGCCGGAGGGGCAGTCCGTGGTGCAGCAAGCGGCGCCTTACCTCGGGCTGTCCCTAGAGCAGCAGCAGCAGATCCCGCTCATCCGCTCAGCTGGTGGGACCGCGACGGGGAGCCCACCCCTAACCTGGTGGCCGGTAGCGGCGGCGGTCTCGCACGTGCGGTGGGGCGCGGTGGGCGCGGTGGGGGCTCGGTCGGCCGCTGTCGGCGCGGTGGGGCGCTCTCGAGGAGAGGCCCTCCTGCCAGTGGTCGACTAGACGGCGCCCTCGCGACTGGAGTGGAGGAGTGAACGTCTGGGGCGGGAGGGGGGCACGGCAAGGGGTGCACTGCCCACTGCACGCCACCTGACCAGGGCTTGCCGCCGGCCGAGGAGGAGGGTGGGGGAGGGACGCCCCGGCACGCCACGAGCAAGGGGGTCGTTGGGGTCAAGGCGCAAGGCGACGGCCGGCGACGGCCGCCCGCGAGCCCCGACCCAGTGAAAAACGACTGCCAGAACGGCACCCCGTTTATCAACTTCCGGCCGTCTGAACCCTTTCTTGAACGTGGACTATTTTGAAATATTTAAAGAGAGCTTTCCTGGCATTGTATTATTTGCGGTAGGTCACAGAACGGACCAACGCCGACAGGTGGTCTAGCAGCAGCTGCTGCTGCTCGCCGAGAGGTAGGCAACCCATTCGACTCGGCAGTGCGGCCGGCGGCGGTGGAGCAGGAGGGGAGAGGCCGGGCCCGAGCACACCTCCAAACAAACATCTTGTTACAATTTTTTTTCAGCCGTTTTAAAATTCGTGTGTCCTGTGTGACACCTGTTGCGTACTGCCATATAGGAGGCGGCAGCGTGACGTGGCCGAGCTGTGGGCGATAGCGACCCCTCTCGGGCGGCCCACGTGGACTCGCGCGCCGGAGCGTCGGGGGCCACTGGAGCCCAGCGCTGCACGGTCGGGGAAGACCAAGCTCGGCACGAGTAGGGCATCCACCTCGGGGCTCGATGGCGTCTCACAGGAGGGAAGCTTACGCCGCTCCAGCTGTGGGACGGAACAAAGCGCGGAAGAGGGGCCGGGGCCGCGGGACGCGGCGGGGCATAGCGGGGCGCGGCTGGCGCGGCGGGGCGCGGCGCGGCGCGGCGCGGCGCGGCGTGGAGGGCCCGCCGCAGGCCGGAGCACGGGGAGCAGCCGACCGAACACCTCTCCCCGCACCTATAACGGAACCGAGCCGAACCGAACACAGCCCGAACACACTAGCGATGAACTGGACTTGTAGGCGTAGGTAGACTCGGACACACGTCGCGAGGAGATATTTTTCGGTCTTGTGGTGAATAATTCTAAATTAAGGCGTCAGAAAACAGTCTGTACGCAGTGAGTCGTTGCCCAGGGCAAGACGTGCAGACGCCAAGAAGCCATCGCTCTCCATCGTCTGCTGTGGTAATCTGGGGAATTCTTCCGGTGAAAGGTATCCGCTGGAACCATGGAGGAAAGGATCTGTCAGATTTTCCGCTTCCGCGAAGTGCGATAGGATGCTGAAATAGAGTGGGAGCCAGTGATACATTCAAGTTGTATAAATGCAACAGGTGTGAGCACCTCCTCAAGCACATTCAGATTTATGAACTGCTTAATTAAATAAGTTTCTTAAGAGTTAATTTTTTGACGTTACCCTCTTTTTTGCATCATTTTTCAGTTTTACTTCATTTTTGACAGCCATAATCTGATATAAATGGCTCAGATTATTAATGCTGCCAGACGTAAAGTCAAGGGAAGGGGAGGAAATTATGAGGACCTTGATGGCCATACAGATCCAGCCCCGCAATCCCCACCAGATTCACTGCGGAGCGAATCAACTCCTCATTCAATATATGGAGGAGATGATAGTAATGACCTGTTGGGTCAAGAAATTGAAATGACATCTGTATCTGTTGTGCCAGATGGTAAGTTTCACCCTGAAAATTTTATTTCTAA